CGTTAAAACGGTATATGAAAAATATCGTTTTCCCTTTCGTTAAAACGGTCAATGAAAAATATCGTTCTTCGTAACGTTAAAGTGTATATGAAAAATATCGTTTTCCTTATCGTTTAAACGTACATAAAAAAATTTGTTTTCCACATCGTTTCAACAGTATATGAAAAATATCGTTTTCCATATCATTAAAACGATATAAGAAAGTTATCATTTTCCATATCGTTCAAACGTATATGAAAAATATCGTTTTCCATATCGTTAAAACGGTATATATATGAAAAATCGTTTTCCATATCGTTAAAACGTAAAAGTAAAATAAGGTTTTCGATACCGTTGAAACGTATATGAAAAGTATCGTTTTCCATATCGTTAAAACGTATATGAAATATATCGTTTTCCATATCGTTAAAAATTATATGAAAAATATCGTTTTCCATATCATTAAAACGTAACATGAAACAAATAGTTTTTTATATCGTTTAAACGTATATGGACAATATCGTTTTCCATATCATTAAAACGGTATATGAAAAATATCGTTTTCCATATCGTTCAAATGTATATGGAAAATATAGTTTTCCATACCGTTAAAATGGTAAATGAAAAAAAATCGTTTTCCATATCGTCAAAACCGTTTATGGAAAATATCGTTCTTCGTATCCTTAAAACGTAAATGAAAAATATCGTTTTCCATATCGTTAAAACGTATATGAAAAATATCGCTTTCCATATCAGTAAAATTATATGAAAAATATCGTTTTCCATATCATTAAAACGTAACATGAAACAATTAGTTTTTTATATCGTTTAAACGTATATGGACAATATCGTTTTCCATATCATTAAAACAGTATATGAAAAATATCGTTTTCCATATCGTTCAAATGAATATGGAAAATATCGTTTTCCATGTCGTTAAAATGGTAAATGAAAAAAAATCGTTTTCCATATCGTCAAAACGGTTTATGGAAAATATCGTTCTTCGTATCGTTAAAACGTATATGAAAAAAATCGTTTTCCATATCATTAAAACGTAAAAGTAAAATAACGTTTTCGATATCGTTGAAACGTATATGAAAAATATCGTTTTCCATATCGTTAAAACGTCTATGAAAAATATCGTTTTCCATATCGTTAAAAACTATATGAAAAATATCGTTTTCCATATCATTAAAACGTAACATGAAACAAATAGTTTTTTATATCGTTTAAACGTATATGGACATTATCGTTTTCCATATCATTAAAACGGTATATGAAAAATATCGTTTTCCATATCGTTCAAAAGTATATGGAAAATATCGTTTTCCATATCGTTAAAATGGTAAATGAAAAAAAAATCGTTTTTCATATCGTCAAAACGGTTTATGGAAAATATCTTTCTTCGTATCGTTAAAACGTATATGAAAAAAATCGTTTTCCATATCATTAAGACGTAAAAGTAAAATAACGTTTTCGATATCGTTGAAACGTATATGAAAAATTTCGTTTTCCATATCGTTAAAACGTATATGAAAAATATCGTTTTCCATATCGTTAAAAACTATATGAAAAATATCGTTTTCCATATCATTAAAACGTAACATGAAACAAATAGTTTTTTATATCGTTTAAACGTATATGGACAATATCGTTTTCCATATCATTAAAACGGTATATGAAAAATATCGTTTTCCATATCGTTCAAATGTATATGGAAAATATCGTTTTCCATATCGTTAAAATGGTAAATGAAAAAAAAATCGTTTTCCATATCGTCAAAACGGTTTATGGAAAATATCGTTCTTCGTATCGTTAAAACGTATATGAAAAATATCGTTTTCCATATCGTTAAAACATATATGAAAAATATCGTTTTCCATATCGTTAAAAATTATATGAAAAATATCGTTTTCCATATCATTAAAACGTAACATGAAACAAATAGTTTTTTATATCGTTTAAACGTATATAGACAATATCGTTTTCCATATCATTAAAACGGTATATGAAAAATATAGTTTTCCATATCGTTCAAATGTATATGGAAAATATCGTTTTCCATATCGTTAAAATGGTAATGAAAAAAAATCGTTTTCCATATCGTCAAAACGGTTTATGGAAAATATCGTTCTTCGTATCGTTTAAACGTATATGAAAAATATCGTTTTCCATATCGTTAAAACGTATATGAAAAATATCGTTTTCCATATCGTTAAAAATTATATGAAAAATATCGTTTTCCATATCATTAAAACGTAACATGAAACAAATAGTTTTTTATATCGTTTAAACGTATATGGACAATATCGTTTTCCATATCATTAAAACGGTATATGAAAAATATCGTTTTCCATATCGTTCAAATGTATATGGAAAAAATCGTTTTCCATATCGTTAAAATGGTAAATGAAAAAAAAATCGTTTTCCATATCGTCAAAACGGTTTATGGAAAATATCGTTCTTCGTATCGTTAAAACGTATATGAAAAATATCGTTTTCCATATCGTTAAAACATATATGAAAAATATCCTTTTCCATATCGTTAAAAATTATATGAAAAATATCGTTTTCCATATCATTAAAACGTAACATTAAACAAATAGTTTTTTATATCGTTTAAACGTATATGGACAATATCGTTTTCCATATCATTAAAACGGTATATGAAAAATATAGTTTTCCATATCGTTCAAATGTATATGGAAAATATCGTTTTCCATATCGTTAAAATGGTAAATGAAAAAAATTTATTTCCATATCGTCAAAACGGTTTATGGAAAATATCGTTCTTCGTATCGTTAAAACGTATATGAAAAATATCGTTTTCCATATCGTTAAAACGTATATGAAAAATATCGTTTTCCATATCGTTAAAAATTATATGAAAAATATCGTTTTCCATATCATTAAAACGTAACATGAAACAAATAGTTTTTTATATCGTTTAAACGTATATGAACAATATCGTTTTCCATATCATTAAAACGGTATATGAAAAATATCGTTTTCCATATCGTTCAAATGTATATGGAAAATATCGTTTTCCATGTCGTTCAAATGTAAATGGAAAATATCATTTTCCATATCGTTAAAATGGTAAATGAAAAAAATCGTTTTCCATATCGTCAAAACGGTTTATGGAAAATATCGTTCTTCGTATCGTTAAAACGTATATGAAAAATATCGTTTTCCATATCGTTAAAACGTATATGAAAAATATCGTTTTCCATATTGTTAAAAAATATATGAAAAATATCGTTTTCCATATCATTAAAACGTAACATGAAACAAATAGTTTTTTATATCGTTTAAACGTATATGGACAATATCGTTTTCCATATCATTAAAACGGTATATGAAAAATATCGTTTTCCATATCGTTCAAATGTATATGAAAAATATCGTTTTCCATATCGTTCAAATGTATATGGAAAATATCGTTTTCCATATCGTTAAAATGGTAAATGAAAAAAAATCGTTTTCCATATCGTCAAAACGGTTTATGGAAAATATCGTTCTTCGTATCGTTAAAACGTCGTTTTCCATATCGTTAAAACGTATATGAAAAATATCATTTTCCATATCGTTAAAAATTATATGAAAAATATCGTTTTCCATATCATTAAAACATAACATGAAACAAATAGTTTTTTATATCGTTTAAACGTATATGGACAATATCGTTTTCCATATCATTAAAACGGTATATGAAAACTATCGTTTTCCATATCGTTCAAATGTATATGGAAAATATCGTTTTCCATATCGTTAAAATGGTAAATGAAAAAAAAAATCGTTTTCCATATCGTCAAAACGGTTTATGGAAAATATCGTTCTTCGTATCGTTAAAACGTATATGAAAAATATCGTTTTCCATATCGTTAAAACATATATGAAAAATATCGTTTTCCATATCGTTAAAAATTATATGAAAAATATCGTTTTCCATATCATTAAAACGTAACATGAAACAAATAGTTTTTTATATCGGTTAAACGTATATGGACAATATCGTTTTCCATATCATTAAAACGGTATATGAAAAATATAGTTTTCCATATCGTTCAAATGTATATGGAAAATATCGTTTTCCATATCGTTAAAATGGTAAATGAAAAAAAATTGTTTTCCATATCGTCAAAACGGTTTATGGAAAATATCGTTCTTCGTATCGTTAAAACGTATATGAAAAATATCGTTTTCCATATCGTTAAAACGTATATGAAAAATATCGTTTTCCATATCGTTAAAAATTATATGAAAAATATCGTTTTCCATATCATTAAAACGTAACATGAAACAAATAGTTTTTTATATCGTTTAAACGTATATGAACAATATCGTTTTCCATATCATTAAAACGGTATATGAAAAATATCGTTTTCCATATCGTTCAAATGTATATGGAAAATATCGTTTTCCATATCGTTCAAATGTATATAGAAAGTATCGTTTTCCATATCGTTAAAATGGTAAATGAAAAAAAATCGTTTTCCATATCGTCAAAACGGTTTATGGAAAATATCGTTCTTCGTATCGTTAAAACGTATATGAAAAATATCGTTTTCCATATCGTTAAAACGTATATGAAAAATATCGTTTTCCATATTGTTAAAAATTATATGAAAAATATCGTTTTCCATATCATTAAAACGTAACATGAAACAAATAGTTTTTTATATCGTTTAAACGTATATGGACAATATCGTTTTCCATATCATTAAAAAGGTATATGAAAAATATCGTTTTCCATATCGTTCAAATGTATATGAAAAATATCGTTTTCCATATCGTTCAAATGTATATGGAAAATATTGTTTTCCATATCGTTAAAATGGTAAATGAAAAAAAATCGTTTTCCATATCGTCAAAACGGTTTATGGAAAATATCGTTCTTCGTATCGTTAAAACGTCGTTTTCCATATCGTTAAAACGTATATGAAAAATATCGTTTTCCATATCGTTAAAAATTATATGAAAATTATCGTGGATTGGACTTTGTATCAAAATTCACCTACTTGTGCAGACATAGAGATCTGTTCTCAGCAAGGACACTTGGGTACCACAGTCTTCACCAAATTCCACGACAGTTTTTAATTTAATCTCGTATCTAGTTCCCGACTCTAGTTCAGATAACTGTGAAAACAAAGTAAAATGTCAGCACGATGAATGGTTCACAAAGGAACGGATACCAACGAAGAACTGCGGATAGTTTCATTAACCTGAATCCGCTTGGCTTTTGGAAAATTTTGACAAAATGTATTTTAAGTCTGTCCGTTCGAATTTACTGAGTTCGGTCAAATTCTCAGAACAATTGTAGCTTGCTTGTCTCAAACTAAAGAATTTAGTTTTGGCGATTGTGGCGCCTTTAGAAAGGTTTCAGGACTTTTCAGCCAGAAAAGTATTCAAAAAATTTGTTTGGGGGGATATGGGGGATTTTGGCAACCCACTTAACATCGCTACCGTTCTATTTTAATTTACCTCTAAATCGGCACTTCTGTCGGCTTCGAAGGTGTCATCCGAATAATACATATGATTAAAGTAGTAGATCCTGTATGCGTCAATGTGTCCGGTGATTGCCTGCACATTGGATGCTGTTCCTTTGATAGTCAGGCTCGTCAAATTGGATTCGACTTGAATTGAAGATTTCTTGGGAGCTGCAGGCACTGAAAATTTTGGGAAAAAACTTGTAGAAGAATCTCCCCCGACAGAAGTATCGCATTCCCAAAAACATTTTAGGCCAGTCAAAATTCAGTTCCCAAAATTCACCCAGAAATAAAGCGGAACTTTGCGCCACTTGTGAGTCAAAAAGACCTGAAGCAATTTTTGTGTGAAATAAAAGCTAGAGAAAAATAACTAATAAGAAAACCACTATATGTTTTCATAAACTTCAGACTTGAAAAAAACCTTAGTCAATCTATTATCTATAACCATTTCAGATCATAAAAGACAGGCGATCGACACACTCGTAAAAATAGAATAAACATTTTTTAAAACAAAGTTTGTGTAACCATATAGAAAAAACTGACAAAATGTTTGGGCAAAAGCTCGAGGAGCTCAAGTACCCGCGATATTACAGAGAAAATCTAATGTCAGTTATATTAATAGTTACCCAAATCAAAAACCATCCTTAGCAACAAAAAGTAGGTGGAAAAAAAGATAGCCTGACAACTGAAAACATGGCCAACAGTCAGTTGGAAAAATTCCTCAAATAAATTTTAAAAAAATTCTACAATTTTCCGAAAAAAAATTCTTAATAATTTTTCTATTTTTGACCAAAAAAGAGATAGTCTTAACGTTCTTTGAAATTCTAGATCAATTTATGTTAGGACGACTTTTTTTGATAAAATTAATTCAATTTGATAAAAATGGATTAATACAGGGTGACCACTTTTTTGAGAGAAAAATAGAGACTATGACAATTTTCAAATTTTTTGTTGACCTTTTTTTTTAGGTCGGTCAAATTAATTTTCAAGCCGGCCCCCTCAATATTAGTATATATTGGCGCCAAAAGCGCCTTTAGAAAAATTTTAGCGTCCGTCACCAAAAACCGTTGTAATTAGTGACTTTTAGTGAACATTGAAAAAATAGTGACCAATTAGTGACCAATAGTGACTGGTCACTAAAATAGTGACCAAGTGGTCACGCTGGATCAACAGGTATTTTATTGATTCGCTTCGAAATCTGATAACAGAAACCCATTCTCTAAATTAAAAAACGATCAAGTTTTCTCTGACCTTTTGTTTTGTTCCATAGCAGGGTTTGCCTTGTTTTATTTTAAGAAAAGGAATTGTGTTTAAAAAATCAAGATTCAAGCCGCGAAAAATGTAATTTGAGACTGAAGAAACCTGAACATTTTTCCTTAAAAAAAACGTGAAAGCACAAACTTTAGTACCTTTATAAGAATCTGAACAACAATATTAGTTTCAAAAAACGTAAGCAAAAAACTGTGATTTCCCAAATTTTTTTTAAATCTAACCATATTTGAACCACAGCCTTTTGTCAATCGAATCATTTAATCAAGATTTTTTCCAGTGACAAGAAAAATTGATTTGTCTAAACTGGATCGCCTCGCCCACAAGCGAAACAACCAAAAAACCAAATAAAAAACAAAGATAGCCCCCAAATACGAAAGTTCCAATCAGATTGACACAAAAACAAAAAAAATGACTGAGATAATAAACTGTCGTTTTTTTACTTCTTGTGATGAGATAGTTGTACGAAAGCGTTTAATAGTACTGAATTTTTCATAACTTACAATCGTTATTTCCTAAAAAAAAGAATTACAACAAAAAAATTTCCAAAAAACTGTTTTTTTTTGCGAAAATTTTAAACTTTTTTTAGGACAAAATCAGTTTTTCGGAAGCAAAATAAGGTGTTTGATAATCAAAATCAAAACGTTTTTTTAAAGAATGACACTCTTGCTTACTTTTTTCAAATTAGGCTCGCTTTACTCGCTCAAAAATTGTTTTTGAAGAAAAAACAAGTTCTGCGATTTGCGAATGAAAAACACTCCATATTAAAAACATTTCGATTAATTTCAATGCTTGTTTCTTGTACCTGATATTGCGTAAACAAAAAAAAACAAGAAATCAAAGCCGAAGACAAACTCTTCTCTAGTTTCAAGGCCCAGAAAAAAATCACAATTACTCTATGAAAACTTAGAAAAGCTTTTTTTGATGTAAACCCAATGGCGTTGAGTTTTTACTAATGGAGTTCAGCATGGAAGTGTAAGCGTAGACAGGGCATATTTAAACCAGTACTATCGAGTATTTTCGATGTTGAAGCAAATGTACATGCCAATTTCGAAAAAAACTGTTTATGAAAGCAAAAGTTTTTAAAGTAATCATGATCACGTCTGTTTTTTTATGACAACCGCACCCTTTTTCAAAAAAAAAAATTGAATATAGAAGCAATTTTTTCTGATAGTAGAGCGTTATTTTTTTTTTCAATTTTGGATTTTTTAGTGGGCACTTTTCAGTGTATGAAAAAATGCTGGTCTTGCAGATTTCAGATACGGAAGTTGTATGATAAGCGTTTTTCAAAAACTTCATGTATAGAATTATATAATCAGTATTTTTTTGTGTAAAACAGGTATGACAATTTTTTTCTAGTCTATAGAATGCTAGCGTACCATTGTAACTATTTAGTTTCTGAGTTTGAAAATTTTCTTAAGAAAAATTAATTTGTTGACTGAAAGTTTCAAGTGATTTTTATGGAGGCATTTGTTATAAATAAGCGCTGCATTGCGAAGCAGAGTAAACTTTTCTAAGTTTTAGAGGGAGTGTGTCGACTAGCATAAAAAATGACAAGCATAAAAGTTTCAAAACTGAAAATAGTATCAACCAGCATAAAAATTGAAATACAAAATTTACTAAGCAAAACTAAAACCATTACACACAATGTATTGCTTCCCGAATCTTCTTATCTGATCCACTCTACTATTTCGGTTTTAAGAAATTCATCTTTGGCTGCCAAATTTTCCATAATTTCTAGATAATTTAATGATTGAGTTTTTTTCCTGATAAAAATAATTCAATTTGATACAAATGGATCAATAGTTTTTTTTATTGATTCGCTTGGAAATCTGACAACAAAGATCCGTTCTCTAAATTAGAAAACAATCAAGTTTTTTGTGACTTTTTGTTTTGTTCGATAGCACAGCTTGACTTTTTTCAATTAAGAAAAAGAATTGTGTTTAAAAAATTAAGATTCAAGACGAGAAAAAATAATTTAAAAAAAACAACAAAACACAAATTTCACTACTTATACAAGAAACTGAACAACCTGATTAGACTCAAAAAAACGTTAGCAAAAAACTGTGATTTCCCAAAAAGTGTATAATTTAACTATATTTGAACCACAGATTTTTGTCAATCAAATCATTTAATCAAAAACTTTTCCAGTGACGAGAAAAACTGATTTGTCGAAACTGGCTCGCCTCGCCCACAAACGAAACAACCAGAAAACTAAATTAAAAACGAAGATAGCCCCCAAATACGAAAGTTCCAATCAGATTGACACAAAAACAAAAAAATGACTGAGATAATAAACTGTCGTTTTTTCGCTTCTTGTGATGAGATAGTTGTACGAAAGTGTTTGATAGTACTGAAATGTTTATAACTTACAATCGTTACTTTCTAAAAAAAAGAACTACAAAAAAAAACAAAAAACTGTTTTTTTTTGCCAAAATTTTAATTTTTTATAAAACAAAATCGAAACTAGTTTTTCGGAAGCAAAATAAGGTGTTTGATAATCAAAATCAAAACGTTTTTTTTAAAGACTCACACTGTTGTTTACTTTCTTCAAATTAGGCTAGTTTTACTCGCTCAAAAATTGTTTTGAAGAAAAAACAAGTTCTGCGGTTTGCGAATGAAAAACGTTCCATATTAAAAACATTTCGATTAATTTCAATGCTTGTTTCTTGTACCTGATATTGCGTAAACAAAAAAAACAAGAAATCAAAGCCGAAGACAAACTCTTCTCTAGTTTCAATGCCCAGAAAAAAATCACAATTACTCTATGAAAACTTAGAAAAGCTTTTTTGATGTAAACCCAATGGCGTTGAGTTTTTACTAATGGAGTTCAGCATGGAAGTGTAAGCGTAGACAGGGCATATTTAAACCAGTACTATCGAGTATTTTCGATTTTGAAGCAAATATACATGCCAATTTCGAAAAAAACTGTCTATGAAAGCAAAAGTTTTTAAATTAATCATGATCACGTCTGTTTTTTATAGACAACCGCACCCTTTTTCAAAAAAAAATTTGAATATAGAAGCAATTTTTTCTGATAGTAGAGCGTTAATTTTTTCTTCAATTTTGGATTTTTCAGTGGGCATTTTTCAGTGTATGAAATAATGCTGGTATTGCAGGTTTCAGATACGGAAGTTGTATGATAAGGGTTTTTCAAAAATTTCATGTATGGAATTATATTATCAACATTTTTTTGTGTAAAAAAAATGGCATTTTTTTTTCTGGTCTCTAGAATGCTAGCGTACCATTGTAACTATTTTGTTTCTGAGTTTGAAAATTTTTTTAAGAAAAATTAATTTTGTTGACTACAAGTTTCAAGTGATTTTTATGGAGGCATTTGTTAAAAATGAGCGCTGCATTGCGAAGCAGAGTTAATTTTTCTAAGTTTTTGACACGGCGGTTTTAGAGGGGGTGTGTCGACTAGCATAAAAATTGACAAGCATAAAAGTTTCAAAACTGAAAATTGTATCGAGCAGCATAAAAATTGAAATACAAAATTTACTAAGTGAAAACTAAAACCATTACACACAAAATGTGGCAAAATCTTCTTAACTGATCCCCTCTACTATTTCGATTTTTAGACGTTTAACTTTGGCTGCCAAATTTTCCATAACTTCTAGATCAATTAATGATTGAGACTTTTTCGGATAAAAATAACTCAATTTGATACAAATGGATCAATGGTTATTTTATTGATTCGCTTGGAAATCTGACAAAAAAGACCCGTTCTCTAAATTAGAAAATAATCAAGTTTTTTGTGACTTTTCGATTTTTTCGATAGCAGTTTTTGACTTTTTTTAATTAAGAAAAGTAATTGTGTCTAAAAAATTAAGATTCAAGCCGAGAAAAAGTAATTTGAAAAAAAAAAAACAAGAAAACACAAATTTCACTTTTTGTACAAGAATATGAAC